AGTAAACATGCATCTGTGGTGTTGGGATGAGGCACTTGAACACTTGGTCCCCAGTTGGGGAAACTGTTAGGGAAGGATTAGCAGGTGTGGCCTTGTGAGACGTGATGTGTCACTGGGGGTGGGCTTGGAGGTTTCCAAGGATTCTCAGTGTGTCTTTCTTTACCTCAAGGTGTAAGCTGATCAGGATGTAAGTACTCAGCTACTGCTTCACACCATGCTTGCCTACCACACTCCCTGTCACGAGAGTCAGAGACTCTATCCCTCTAAAACCAAAAGCCCCAAGTAAACTCTTTCTTTTATAAGTTGCCTTGGTAATGGTATTTTGTCACAGTAACAGGAAAGCAAGAAAGCATCACTGCACACAGAGTTCTATGAAGCTTCAGTTTCAGGAACAAAGATAGAAATGACTGAACTTACTATATAGATGTTGTTGTAAGCATTTCACTACATTATCCAAGGTTGAGTATGTAAAAGGAATTGTAAACAAGAAAATCATCACACTTGATTCTACTCCAGTCAGTCTCCAAAGCTGACTGCATGTGACAGGGAACCAGTGAACGTTACACTCTGCAACATCCAGTCACAATATTTGGCAATAACCTTCCGCACTCATAGTACTAAGGCCCAGCTTCTAAACCACACACAGATATTAGCTTTTGTGACTATGAACTGCAGGAAAAGCATACTTGCCTTTTTAAGGGGAACGGTACTTCTAAACCAATTGTAATCTGGAGAGACTTTGATCTCTCCCATGATGAGCAGAAATGGAGGTGAACCCTGAAATAAAAGCAGATGACAGTTTCGAGGCAAGAATTCTCATTACATACATCTCAACTCAATGCAGAGGCTGGCCTAGCTGCACCAACAATACTTTAACCAAAGAAACAGGTTGTTTACCTCATCAGTACAGACTTAAACTAGAGAAGACGACAGGGTAAATCCCTTTAGCACCTCCAAAAAGAGGACTCCGTTCTTGCAGAATTAAGGAACCAGATTGGGTACAGAATACTCCTTTCCAAGCCTGTCCTGCCTGTCCTACTTAGGAGACTCCAAACTGCAATCTGGCTGATGTCTTTTGACAGCATCTTAAGAATCCATTTTAAGTGGGGTGGTGATGGTGTACGCCTGTAATCCCAGCACTTGGGAGGCAGAAGCAAGTGGATCTTTGTGAGTTCGAGGTCAGCCTGGTCTAAAGAGCAAGTTCCAGGACAGACAGAGCTGTTACATAGAGAAAATGTCTCAAAACAAACAAATAAAAAGAATCCATTTTAATAAACTTCCCATCTGCCTATAGGACATTTATGATAAAGGGTTAGTAAACCTGTCACAATATGCCATGAATCGAACTTTAATTCACATGTAGTTAATACCCAACGAGGGAGGTGGGGGTCAAATATATCAGTCTCACTGCTACTAAAAGGTACATAAGTTGAGATGTAACTGGGTGTGATAGAGCACTTGCCTGGCATGCACAAAGTTCAATCCCTAAGTGCTGAAAAGTTACAAAAAGTCTCTGAAATGCCTGTGATATAAATGCAAATGTTTGTCTCTAGTTTTGATGGCTCTGTGACCTCTGTGCTCCTCTGCCCTCTGTGGGCTTCATCTTTGTTTCCCTGGAGTCTGGAATGGTTTGGCAGTCAGCCCGCCTCATCCGCTGACTAAGGGATGACTGAGTCCTAAAGAGACTGACCTAGGCCCTCGAGAACCCCTCCTGCTCCTGTTACCGCCAGGCTGGGAACTGGGTATCCTTTGCTCAACCGTGTAATGCCTAATGTCGTAACACAGACTCGAACAGGTTCCTTTTGCAGATTTTTATTGCCAGCAGAGGCACTTGCACCCACCTACCTGGAAAGATGGTGCCCCCTGCTTCGAGGGCAGAACTAGGGTTCCTAGCAGGGTTGAGGTGAGAGTCCAGGACTCAAGTCTAGGCTGATTTTGAATTTCCATTTTAGAAAAAGCTCTCTGGCCTGGGAAAGGGCAGAGGATCTAAACTCAACAGAACACTGCCTCATTATTTGGCCCTCTCTGAGGGACACAACACTGGACTGCTACCTTTGAGAATCACTAACCTGAACTTCTAGGAGACAGTAAATGTAGACAGTCCAATGTTAAATTCTAATTACAGTACTGATAGGATCACGGTCTCTTATCTCAGAGCAAAGGAGATACTTTAAGAGAGGGCTGTTAAAATTGTAATTTGTTTTGTTTTGTTTTTTTGAGAAAGGGTTTTACTTCGTAGCCTCAGCTGTCCTGGAACTCACTCTTAAGACCAGATTGGCCTTGAACTCACAGAGATCCACCTGCCTCTGCCTTCGGAGTGCTGGGATTAAAGATTGTTTTAAAACACAAAATAAATCACCACCAATCTTATGCTGAAACCAATATGCACAGATTTGGTTATTAACACTAAAACAAAGAACACAATCCTTTACAAAATCCATTTCATCTTAAATATTAACATGTTAAAAAATATCTAAGCTGTTTAAACTATTTTTGTAGCAAAACTTTCACTACTTTTAAAAATTCTTATTAGTTGACAGTTTCATGCATTTATGTAATAAATTTTAGTCAGTTTACCTCTCCTGTCTTCCTTAAGCTATTACTTTTTAAATGAAAGCAACTAGCAGCACATACAGTGAATTCTGGAATATTTTATACAGACTTGAAATACCACCATACATAGCATTTACACACTACCAACTGGAGACAATTTCTAGAAATAATTTCTGCAAGAGGGAATATTAAAAATATGTGGAACAGCCAGGTATGATAGCACACATCTTTAATCCCAGCACTCTGTGAGTTCAAGGCCATCCTGGTGTACATAGTGAGTGAGTTCTAAGCCAGCCAGGGCTATACAAGTGATAGGTGGGACCTTGTCTCAAAATAAACACACAAAACCAAAACATCAATCAATTTGCTCAAGTTTACTTCTAGAATCAACCAACTTACAATAAAAATTATTCCTAGTTTTGGAATCAGCTGCAGTTCGCAAACCAAATTACAGCACGCACACACACAGGCAGGCACACAAGGGCACTGAGTTACCCGCTTCTTTCCCACAGCAATGGGCAGAAGGGTAGTCCTTACCAAAAGCCTTCAGTATAACTCACAACCACCTCAGTACCGCAATTCGTTACAACTAGAGATTTTACCCAGCTGCGAGTCCACTTCTGCAAAGACAAGTGATCCTAACACTTGTGCTAGTTTGGCTGTAAGGAAAGGCGAGACAGAGACCAAATGCTGCATGTGACCAGCTGACGGCTATCAAGGGGGAAAAATCTGCTGCAAAGGGAAAGCAGCTGTAGCATTATGAAAAGGAAAGTTTGTTCTCACTCTTTCATCCACTTAAGTCGGATGCTTTTCCAAGTCACAAGAGAAACATTGTGTCCACCGCCCATAAGGTTAGCTGAAATTGTGACCAAACCGTTCAGGATGAAGAAAGAACGTGGGCAGTGAGTTCAGGACAGACTTGACCAGTTCTTTACAAAACAAAAGCACTGGTTCAGGCTGGTGAGCAAAGGGCCAGAGATAAGCTTTTATGTGATTAAAGAAACCCCTCCTCCAGGATGCTGAGGCCACCAGATCCTTTCTGGACTTTGTGTTGCTGGACAAGACATCCGCTAGTTATGAGCATGCACTTGTCCTTCAGGGTTTCAGTAGAACCTGCCCTTTACAGTTGAGGAAATCACCTTTACAAATGTCTAACTCACATGGCCAGTCACATATTGCTGGTCCTTTATCTCAGTCTATAGCGGACTTACATAGGGACAATCTGTGATTGTTATTACAACCAATAAAAAAGTATTGGAACTTGGGAGCTATTGACACAACGATTCTCAGTGCTGGGGATTGAACCTGTGGCCTCGGGAAGGCTAAGCATGAGTTTTTGCCACTAAACTACACCCAAAGCCCTGAAGATCTGCACCCCTCACCACACCCGTATGTATTAAATAGCTATCTTTGGGGGGGGGGGCGATTTCTTCAGGGAAGAGTTATCCCTCTTTCTCCAGGAACCTATCCACTTATCTCTAAATGTCACGGCAGGAGAAGCTGCCTGCATGGCATCTTTTGACACCTCAAGTTCCTGTTGTAAAAAGGCTTTTGAAAACTCAGACATAGCTATTAGATGACTTCCCAGTCCGTAGAATCCTTGCACCAAAAGGAGCTGGACAACTGCAGATAGAGACAAAGCCAACTGCCTCATCACCTAACTTCTAACTCCCTGGGAGAAGAGGGGAAATGAGACACTCCAGCCCTGCGACGTTCCTCATGACTCATTAACGAGCCCCACACTGGGTCTAAGGCAGGATCTCCAGAACAGTTAACCTATACTCGCAGTCCTTAAAAGTTTACGGAAACCAAATGTTCCTGAGCGTCTGCCCCACGGCCCCAGGTTGGGTTGGTACCAGAAAATGAGGACGTCCGATGAAGGCTTTTGTGCACCAACCCCCAGAGGGGCCGCCCTGAGTCCTTAGCCATCGCCACACAATAGTGGGCTCCAAGGCACACCGACCATCCGCAAAGGATCGAGGCTGGGCCTTAGACACAGACACACACGGATGTGGGTCACGTGCATGGTCACAAGGACCGGCCCACTCGTGGACTACGCTCACAAGTCACGCATGCTCGATACACACCCACCCACAACCCTACACGCAACCACACACCCACACTCCGGCTTTCCAAGGCCTGCCCCTCACCTGCCGTGGCCACCCCCGCGTCCCTTTCTCTCCAGCCCAAATGGCTCTTCGCCCCGGTTCGGGCGCTGCGGAGGCAGGCGGCGGGGCGCGGGTGGGCCGGGCGGCTGCAGAGCAGAGGCTCCGCGGGCGCAGCAGGCAGAGGGGCGCGCGGCCGAGCAGCCAGAGGCCACCGCCTCCCAGGTCTGAAACCCTTAGCTCCCCGGGCGCGCCTCCCGCTTCCGGGTTCTGAAGGGGCGGGGCCGGACGGCGAGGAAGGGGCGGGGAAATCTGGCGGTAACTATGACGACGGGGCTGGCGTGGAGCCCCGGATGGGAGCCTCGGTGCTCGCCGCCGAGTGCAATTGGTTTGGAGGGATTGCGGAGGCTGGAGTTGGGCAAGGGTCGATCCGAGGTGACATGAGCACCAGGAGGAAGCCATGGCAGTGGAAGTCTGGGCGGTAGGCTCCGGGGACCTGCTGATGCCTTCGGTTTTCGGGTGTCTTCATGCTTTGAGGACGACACCTTTGGGTTCTGGCTTGTTTGGTGAATAGGGTTTGATATATTCTTTGTTTGGTTTGTTTTTTTGTTTTTGTTTTTGTTTTCCGAGCCAGGGTTTCTCTGTGTAACAGCTCCGGCTGTCCTGGATCTCGCTTTGTAGACCAGGCCTCGAACTCACAGAGATCCGCCTGCCTCTGGCCCCCCACCCCCACCCGGCTATGTATTCTTTTCTTTTTTAATTAGTATATATAAATTAATTCATAACGGTGGCTTCGTTAGGACATTTTCATACCTATTTAAAGTATTTTGATCATCACCCTGTTAGTCTGTCTCCCTTTCATGCTCCCATCTCCTTCCTCCTCTTCTCAACTGCGTACTTTTTCTCAGCAAGACTGTTTTCACCTTTGTACAGTTACAGAGGCCCTCCTCGGATCTCCTTTCGAAGCCCTGTCTCATTTTGCGGCCTTTTCCTGATGTTGTGGGGAACATACTCAACACTAGGCTTCCCCCAGGCACAGATCCTCTTCTGTAAGGCACGTTCTAATCATTGTTATTACAAAAGGTGTTGCAGATGTTGTGATTCCTTTCTTTCTTTCTTTAAAAAATATATTTTATTTTGGTTTTATGTGCATTTGTGTTCTTGCCATGGGTGTCGGGGTCCCCTGAAACTGGAGTTTCAGACAGGTGTGAGCTGCCACGTGGGTGCTGGGAATTGAACTCAGGTCCTCTGGAAGAAGTCTGTAGCCCGGTTTGGCCTCAAACTCACAGAGATCCACCTGGCTCTGCCTCCCGAGTGCTGGGATTAAAGGCGTGCGCCATCACTGCCCGGCATTGTGACTCCTTTCAATAAATACAGTTTTGCTCCGAAATAATAATGTATGATCATATTGAATGACGTGTAAATCTTGTTTGAAAAATTGTAAAAATCCTAAAGCAAACCCAATGTTTTAGGGAGAACTTAAAAAATACATTTTTATTATTTTTAATTGTGTGTGTGCTGGGCAAATATGTGGTCCACACACAGTGTAGTGTGTAAGGAGGGCGGAGGAGGGTATTGGATCCCCAAGAGCTGGCATTACAGGCATTTGTGAGCTGCTCAACATGGGTGCAAGAGCAATATGCACTCTTAACCTCTGAGCCTTCTCTCAGCTTCTAGATTATCCTCCCCCACCCTCGTGTGTGTGTGTGTGTGTGTGTGTGTGTGTGTGTGTGTGTGTGTTGGTGCCTGCAGAGCCCAGAAGAGGGGCTTTGGATCCCCTGGAGCTAGAATTGCAGATGGTTGTGAGCAGCCTGACTTGAGTACTGGAAACTCAACTTTGGTTCTCTGGAAGAACAGCAAGTGTGTTAACTATTGAACCATCTCTCCAGTCCTAGAGAGCACCTATAGCCTGTTAATAGGGCCTGTGAACTTTGCACTTACTCAGACAACTGTTTTGAAATTAATATCAAGGTAGATGCCAAGTAAACTACACCCTTAGTCATGATTGGCTAGGTGTGTTAGTGTTCACCTTGAACCCAGCACTCAGTAGGCAGAGGCAGGTGGATCTTTCTGAGTTCAAGGCCAACCACTGATCTATGATTCACAAGTCTTAGGTTCCAGTCTAGGACTTAGATAAATCCTAGACACATTTCCCCCAAAGCATAGTGATGTCTCAGCCCTCAAAAGGCTAAGGCAAAAATGATCTCAAATTCAAGTTTTAGTGATTCTGTATCTCAAAGCTAACTGAGTTGCTCAAAATTATAGCAAAAAGTGGCAGGCACAGAATCTGAAACCAAGTTCTACCAGCTCTCAAAACTGAGAGCTCTTCACCAAACACATGGCAGGTAGGCTTTGTTTCATATATAATTTTATTGCAATATAAAGGATCTAAAATAATGTGTTGTGTCCCTCAGGGTTATTCATGTCCTCAGTTGTTCTCCGACACATGGCAAGCACACTCTCCAGTCCTTGACTCCCACACAGAGCATTTAACATCGGCGTGTCCAGCTGTCTGGTAATGCACAACTGTGGGCAGCGGACTTCTGAGCCAGGCAGGCCATAGAGCCGGCAGACCTGCTGGGCAGAGTGCTAAGAGTTTGCAGCTGTCCTGAGCGGCGGCGTGTGCCGGATGTTCCCACAACATCTGCGCCTGTGTGAGGCTCTCGCTGGAAAGTTGGAATGTTCACAAAATAGGCTGCGAATACCAAGCAAAGCAAACAGAGGGCCAAGTGGCTTGTGAAAGTGTCCCAAACTTTTGGTGGGTGGAATGAGAATGGGGTGTATGTCTTAAGACAGAGTTTTATTCTGTCGCCCTGGTGGGCCTGGAACTCAATATAAGGGCCAGGTGTAACTAGCTCTCAGACCTTAGCACAACTGACTCCATGATGGAAGTGCCATTCATCAGTCTGTAAAACTCGGCATGTACATAGCACCGCCTGCCAAAAACTAAAACAAAGACCTAATCCATCAAAGTCCACAGTTCTGGGAAAGTCTCTAAATGTGCTGACCTTGCTTTTTGGCTTCTGTAGTTCTGCTTCTGGCTAACTGAAGAATGTCAACCAAGGACATGGGTTTTGTGTTTAAAAGCTCACCCTGAGAAAGGCTTGGGAAACTCTGGGATCCCAAACACTCAGTGTAGTCAACTGGCCAGCTATCTATTGGCTTAAACACATGTCCGAGCAATCTTCTCTAATGAATTCCCCCCCAACACAGGTTTACCTCAAACTCACAGTGATCCTCCTGCTTCCGCCTTCTGAATCCTGGGATTACAGGTGTGTGCTGTCACACGGGGCTTGTTTCTCTTTGGACAAGATAACATTTGTTTTAAATCATACAAATCAATTCTAGATATAGCTATGCATGTCTGAGAAAGATATACATCAAAGTGCTGGAGGGATTGCCCAGTGGTTAGGAACCATTGCTACTCTTGTAGAGGACCTGAGCTCATTTCCCAGCACCCATATCAGGCAGCTCACAACTGCCTACACGCAGAGATCTACCTGCCTCTCCCCCCCCCCCCCCCCCCCACTTGCCCTAGTGCTGGGATTATAAGCATGTACCACCACTCCCTGGTAATTTTTTTAAAATGATTTTATTTTTATTTTATGTGCATTGTTGGTGTTTTGCCTGCATGTATGTCTGTGTGAAGGTGTCCTGTCCTCTGGAACTGGAGTTACAGACAGTTGTGAGCTGCCATGTGGGTGCTGGGATTGAACCCGGGTCCTCTAGATGAGCATCTCCCCAGCCCCTTCCTGGCAATTTTTTGAAGATATAAATGAAATAATGTAATTGTTAGACCTGCAGAGGAATTGAGGATGAAAGTTTTTACTGTAGATTTAGTGTATGAGTTTATATAAAAATCTACTCATGAGGTTGGAGATGGCTTAGTAGTTAAGAATACTGGCTGCTCTTTCAGAGAACTAGGTTCAACTCCCAGCACCTACATTATGGCTCACAACCACCTTTACCTCCAGTTCCAAGGGATCCAGTATCCTCCTCTGGCCTCGGTTGGCACTGCATGCCTGTGGTGCACATACATACACTAAGGCACACACACATAACATTAAAAAATAAAAAATCTATTCATTTATTACTTGTGATTAACATAATTAAAACAACTACATTAAGAACTATAGTCTGCTCTAAATCCTTCCATAGCTCCCTTTCATATCTAATATGAAGCCTTGAGCAGGTCTGGTTCTCCAATCAGCTCTCTGTGAGCCCAATGTGGTCTAGCCATAGCAGCTACCTGAGGGACTCCTCCCCTCCCTCACCTGCTAATGTCTTAGTACTTTTGGCCTTTGTATATAATATACTTGGCCTTCGACCCAGGCTGGCTCCCTTTATTGGACCCCTTTGAGTATCCTCAGAAACCATGGATTTGTGAAGAAGTGACTGGATTTCTTTCTTTTTCTTTTTTTTAAATTCTAAGTCTTGTAATACCATCTTTTTGTTGTTGTGAGACAGGATCTCACATCATAGCCCAGGCTGGTCTTGAATTCAAATGTGGGCCCTTCCTGCTACAGCCTCCTGAGTGCTGGATTTACCAGAACATGCCACCACACCCAGCTTGAATACTATCCTGTGTGCTGTGTGTGTGTGTGTATGCACGCACTAGTGGGTGTGCATGTAGAAGTCATTGGTTAATGTCAGGTGTCTTCCCTGATTGCTTCCCACCTTATGTTTTGAGATGGTTTCTCACTGAACCTGGAGCTCACTGAAAAGCTGGCTGGCCAGTGAGCCCCAGGATCTTCCTCCTGTCTTTATCTCCTAATTTTTAGGACAACAAACTTCCAACTTCCTGCCCAGCTGCTGGAGATCTGAACTCCAGTCCTCATGCTCAAGAATCACAGTCCACTGAGCTATCTCCACAGCAGCGTTGAACACCACCATCCTCTTACAGCTCTCCAGGACACTGACTGCAGTGGTAACATCCCGAACGATGCTGTTTTCCTATTGCTAGTCGGAGTCTGTCAGTGCAGTGGGTTATAGGGACCAGACAGTAGACAGGTATTCTAGAACGGCCTGAGAGACATGCTGGCATGCCTACTCTCTATTTTGTGACTTAAAGGCCCCATCAGACAGAATACTGAAGATGCAGTTATTTGTGATTAATAATTTATTAGTTGCCATCTGTGAATTAAGAGCCCTGAATTTGAGGCTGAGGCTATAGCTCAGTTCAGTGTGCTTGTCTAGCACACACGAAACCTTGTAATTCTAGCACCAACAAACAAGCAAACAATACAACACACACACACACACACACACACACACACACACACACACACCACACACACACACACATAAGGCAGTAATATTGGAGGCCAGAAGAAGGCGTCAGATCACCTGGAGGAGAGAGGGAGAGAGAGGAGGTGTGGGGGAGACAGACAGACAGACACAGAGAGCCATCCCTCTGGTTCTATTCTTGGACAAGGCATTTCCCCTCTCCACAGGTCCAGTCCTTTGTTGTAAAATTAGTTTGTTTCTACTAAATCTCTATGTTCTTTCTAATTCTTTTTTGTTTGTTTTGTTGTTGTTTGTTTGTTTGTTTTTGTTTGTGAGACAGACATAGTTCCTCTATGTAGTTTTGGTGCCTGTCCTGGATCTTGCTCTGTAGACCAGGCTGGCCTCGAACTCACAGAGATCCACCTGGCTCTGCCTCCCGAGTGCTGGGATTAAAAGCTTGTGCTACCACCCGGTTGTTCTTTCTAATTCTAAGATCAGAATTTTATAAACTTAGGGACTGTATTAAGGATTGTTCCCCCTAGAGCTAAAAATGAAATCCAGGACCTCTCTACCACTGAGCTAAATCCAAAACCCCAAGGATTTTTTTTTTTAAGTCAGGCTCTGGTGTAGCCCAGGCTGGCCTTAAAACTTGCTGTATTAGCCGGGCGTTGGTGGCGCAGCCGGGCGTTGGTGGCGCACGCCTTTAATCCCAGCACTCGGGAGGCAGAGCCAGGCGGATCTCTGTGAGTTCGAGGCCAGCCTGGGCTACCAAGTGAGTTCCAGGAAAGGCGCAAAGCTACACAGAGAAACCCTGTCTCAAAAACCAAAAAAAAAAAAAAAAAAAAAAAAAAACTTGCTGTATAACCAAAATGTCTTTGAACTTCAAGATCAGAAACTGATCTTCCTGCCTCCACCCTCTGCTTTCTGGGATTACCAGCATGTACCACTAATTTATGTAGTTTTGTGGATCAAACCTTGGGCTTCATGCCAGCTAGGTACATACTCTACTAACTGAGCTGCATCTTCCACCCCTATTAAGGAATATATACGACAGCTTTCCCTCAGAGTTGTTCTGATAATCCTCCCAGCTCCCTACTCGTAAAAGAGCAGCCCAGGGCCGGGGGACACAGCTCCCAGGTACAATACTGTAGCATGTGTGAAGCCCTAGGTTTGACCTCTAAACAGCAAAAGAAAACCATAAAATTAAAAGAAAAAGAAGTGGTCTAAAATTCTGTGGGAAAATAATAGGAGATGCTGAGTTTCATAGACATGTACTAGGAACCCTATAAAAAGTAGGGGGGCAGGGTGGCTCAGTGGTTAAGAGCATTAGCTGCTCTTCTAAAAGTCCTGAGTTCAATTCCCAGAAGCCATATGGTGGCTCACAATCATCTGTAATGGGTTCTGATGTCCTTTTCTGGCCTTCAGGCATCATGCAGAAAGAGCACTCATATACAGAAAATACATAAATAAATAAATCTTAAAAAAAAAAAAAGCAGCTATGAGATGGGGGTGGGTGAAGGGTGGGGAGTAGGAATGGGATGAAAGGCAGCTTGTATCTCCCGTAGTAAAGCCCTTGGAGGGCCCTGGGTTCCATTCCCAGCCCTGAAGTTGGAGGGAAGACAAGACAAGGGAACCTTGCTGCTTTGTAAGCTAGTCAAAACGTTTTAAAGAAGCCCACACACAAAATGCGTATTTACTGAAAACAGAATTTTAAATTTTATGGATTTGTGTGCGCGCGAGCGAGCGAGTGCGCTTGGGGACCAAATCCAGGGCCTCCAGCATGCTAGGCAAAGTACTTTTCCACTAACTAGACCGATTACCCCAAAATAGTGTTTTAACTTTATTCTTTTTGGTCCTGGGAATAAAATCAGATCCCACACAGAACAAAAATAAGCACTCTACAATGGAGTTACACTCTGCTGCCCCCTCAAGTCCTATTATTCTTTGTGTATTTGTGTATGCATATATGTAGGTATGTGTGCATGTTTATAGTGTGCATGAATGTATGCATGTGGAGGCTTAGAGGTCAAACTCAGGAATCATTCCTCAGGAGCTATCTACCTTGTTTTGTTTTGTTGTGTGTGTGTGTTTGTGTGTGTGTACACAGAGGTCAGCTTAAGATATCAGATACTGTGTTAGTTGTATATTAACTTTACACAGGCTAGAGTCACGTGAAGAGAACTCCTCTATTGAAAAATTAGTTTCATAAGATCAGGCTGTTGGCAAGCCTGCCTGTAGGACATTTTCTTAATTAGTGATTGATGTGGGAAGGCCCAGGCCGTTGTGGGTGGTGCCATCCCATGGCTGTTGTGGATTGTAGAAAAAAGCAGGCTGAGCCAGTCAGGAGAGGTAAGCCTGTAAGCAGCTGTTCCCCATGGCCTCTGCAGCAGCTCCGCCTCCAGGTTACTGAACCTGAAAGCCTTTGGTGAACTGTGATATGGAAGAGTAAGTGAAAATAAACCCTTTCCTCCCCAAGTTGCTTTTGGTCATGTTTTGTCAGAGCAGAAGCCCTAACTAAGACAAGTATCTTCCTCCATTCCTGTCTTATTCCTTTGAGACAGGGACTCTCATTGAACCAGAAGCTTGTGGTTTCAGGTGGGCTAGCTGGCCTGTAAGCCCCTGGAATCTGCCTATCTCAGCCACAGCTGGGGTTACAGACACCCATGGCCATGCCTAGCTTTTATGTGGGTGTTAGAGACTGGACCTCAGGTCTTCATGTATGGCAAACATTCTTTTTTGTGTGTGACAGGGTCTCATTATATACTCCTGGCTGGCCTGGAACTCAGAGATCCACCTGCCTTTGTCTCTTTAAAGGCATGTCCCACCACACTTGGTTCACAGAAAAAATTTTTAACCAAGGAGCCATTTCTCCAGCCCTCACATTATTATTATTATTATTATTATTATTATTATTATTATTTTGGTTTTTCTGAGACAGGGTTTCTCTGTGTAGCTTTGCGCCTTTCTTAGAACTCGCTCTGTAGCCCAGGCTGGCCTAGAACTCACAGAGATCGGCCAGGCTCTGCCTCCTGAGTGCTGAGATTAAAGGCGTGCACCACCACCACCCGGCTACCTTGTTATTTTTTAAAGATTCTTATTTTTAAGTGTGTATATGTGCTTGTGTGGGTGTGTGCACATGAATGTAGGTGCCCTCAGAGATCTGAGATGTCAAATCCCCCTTAGAGTTGGAGTTAAAGGCAGTTGTGAGCCACCTAGTATGGGTTCTGGAAACAAACTCAGGTCTTGTGTAAGAGCTCTTAACCACTGAACCATCCCTCCATCTTCCCCCACCCCCACCACCTTGTTTTAAGACAGTCTCCCTTCACTGGAACCTGGGACTTGCTGATTAGACTAGGCTGGCTGGACAGTACCTAAATGACCCAGTTTCTACCTCCCTGGCACTGGGATCATTTTAGAAGGGTACAGAGATCAAATCCAGATAATACTTGTGGAACAGGCACTTTACTAAGTCCTTTTTCTAGCCTATCATTCATTGTTTTTCGATTTATTTTTTCATTTTTCTTTTCCTTTTTTTTTTTTTTTTTTTTGGTTTTTTGGGACAGGGTTTCTCTGTATAGCTTTGGGGTCTGTCCTGGATCTTGCTCTATAGACCAGGCTGGCCTTGAACTCACAGAGATCCACCTGCCTCTGCCTCCAAGTGCTGGGATTAAAGGCGTGCATCACCACCGCCTGGCTGTTTTTGGGGGTTTTGTTATGCCTTTGAGACAGGGTCTCATTATGAGGCTTTAGAACTCACTGTGTAGATCAGGCTCTGGCCTTGAATTCACAGAGATCCCCCTGCTTCTGCCTCCCAAGTGCTGGGACTAAAGGCATGCACCACCATGCCTGGCTGGAGATTTATTTTACTCTTAAATTATGTGTATGTGCATGTCTGTATGTATGTATGTGTGTGCAGGTGCACAAGGAGTCCAGAAGAGGGCACCAAATCCCCTGGAGCTGAAGTTATAGGAAGCTGTAAAGCTGCCCAGCCTGGACGCTGGGAACTGAACTCAGGTCCTCTGCAAGAACATCACGCGCTCTTAACCCAAGCCATCTCTCCAGGCCTCCTATCACTAACTTCTAACAATTAAAGTCCCTAAGGCAAAGTATCTATCTTCTCCATCATCTCACTAATGATTCAACAATACAAAGAGCAGTGTTAAGGCTGGCAAGATATTCTAGAAAGCAGTAAATGTCAGAGGTTTAAAAACAGTGATCATATAGAAACTAAATGCTTTTTAAAACTGTCTAGTACCAAAGTCCAGCACATTGAGTTCTCCAACCAAGAATAAAACTCACAGTCAGATGGCTGTGGTTAAAGGCATGTTGTCACCAAGCCTAATGCTCTGAGTTCAATCCCAGAACTCACATGGTAGGAGAGAACCAAGTCCTGAAAATTGTCCTCTGACCTCCACATGCACACAGTAACACACACAAACACAAAATAAATGTTACATTATTTTTAGGTCACTTGCAAATGGATGAATGGTAATGAATAGATTAAATCCATGGAAAGGAGCTCGATCATCAGAGCTATTTAACATTCTGGAGAAATGATGGACAATTCTGTTCTGCAGGACTACTGTGAAGGCAAAGAGAGTTCAGGCCATTAGACAGCTGGCTGGCACTCAACAAGCACTAAGTTATACTAAATATACTGAATGACAGACGAGACCCAGGCTCCGAGCTGGGTGCATCCCACGTGTGTCCTGTGCCTCCTGACACCAGGCTCCGAGCTGGGTGCATCCCACGGGTGTCCTGTGCCTCCTGACACCAGGCTCTGAGCTGGGTGCATCCCACGGGTGTCCTGTGCCTCCTGACACCAGGCTCCGAGCTGGGTGCATCCCACGGGTGTCCTGTGCCTCCTGACACCAGGCTCCGAGCTGGGTGCATCCCACGTGTGTCCTGTGCCTCCTGACAATCTGTACAAAGCGGGCACAGCTGTCATTTCACAGCATGAGACAGATCAGAGAGGGTAGGGAGCAGCTTAGGTTTACAGTTAGTGTAGGGCCAGGGCCAGGGCCAGGGCCAAGGCGAGGTTTGCTGATTCCATTTTCTGCCACTCAAAATTATGTCTACACATGGCAACTGTTTGATGGATATAAAATACAGTGAAAGCATATTGTATTTCCCTAAATACAAAGTATAAAAGCAGAAGTAATCTTCTAACAGCTGTTCTTCCAAGGGCTGGATTTTGTGCTCAGAAACATCTGTCTCCCAAACCAAGTAAAAAGTCCTTAAAAAAAAAAAATCTAGGGCTGGCAAGGTAGCTCAGTGGACAGACACTTACCAGCAAGCCTGGCAACCAGGACCTACATGGTGGAAGCAGAAAACTGACCTCTACATACCCCTCCCTCCCCCCACATAGATAAATTAACAAATTAAAAAAAAAAATCTATGGCCTTGGGTTCTGATTCTTCACAACACAGCAATGCCTGAATTCGGTCCTTTATCTTTGAAATTCTGAGTTACATAGATCTTTTCTCACTCTAAAACCATTTTCACCCTGTTGGGGGGTCCCCACAGCTGTGGTGGCCCCCAGTGGAAAATACTGTAGAAGGTCTAAAAGTGGGAAACAGCAGTACCAGAATGCTGTATGTAGTAAAGTTCTGCAGAGAAACAGAACAGATTTATAATGAGTTGGTTCACATGGTTATGAAGGCCAGTGGGTCCCCAGATCT